TATGGGAAACTACACAGTGTTAAGCAGGCTCTAAAGCAGTTGAATAGAGCAGTTTACTCAGATATTTCGAGCAGAGTGAAGGCAGCAGCAGTGGTATTGGAATCTGTTCAAAATGAAGTATTGTTTAATCCCACTGAAGAGTTAGTGGCAAAGGAAAAACAGTTGTGTGTTGAGTACCTTGAGCTTAAAAAGGCAGAAGAACAATTCTATAGGCAGAAGGCAAGAACTCAAGCTATACAGGAAGGGGACTCTAATACTGCATATTTCCGTAAAACTGTGAAAATTAAAACTCAAAGGCAGCAAATTACTCGAATGATGAATGACAGTGGTGAAGTTAAAACTAATGTGCAGAGTATTGGTAAGATTGCTGTGGATTTTTATGAAAAGTTGATTGGGGCTGAGGATCCTAATGTGGAGGCTAAAGAAGGTTCTTACTATCAGGGTTTAATCAAGCATAAGTTGTCTGATGATGAGAAGAATATGTTGATGAGAGGAATTACTCGAACAGAAATCAAGCAGATTTTCCAGACTCTTGGCAAGGATAAGGCCCCATGGCCAGATGGATTTCCAGTTGAGTTTTACAAAGCTCACTGGTCTCTTATTAGGCCTGAAGTTGAAGAGGTAATTCTTTCTTTCTTCTCTACTGGAGTCATGCCTCCTATTGTGAATAGTACAATATTTACTTTGGTAGCTAAGATTCCTAGTTCTGAAAAGATGAGAGATTATAGACCCGTTTCTTGCTGTAACACATTGTATAAGGGAATATCTAAACTGTTAGCCAATAGACTTGCTTTAGTACTCCCTAGTGTGATTAGCAGATCTCAATCAGCTTTCATTAAAGGGAGGTCTATAAGTGACATTATACTTCTGGTGTCAGAACTAGTCAGAAACTACCATAGGAAGAATATTACTCCTAGGTGTGTGGTGAAGATTGATATAATGAAGGCATTTGACTCAGTAAACTGGAAGTTTTTGTTCAATATTATGGAGGTCATGGGGTTCCCAGGGGGGTTTCTTAAACTGCTTGCTGCATGTGTTACCACTCCCACTATTAGAGTAGCAGTTAATGGTAGGTTGTGTGGGAATATTAGGGCAGGTAAAGGGCTAAGGCAGGGGGACCCTCTGTCTCCCTACCTGTTTACAATTGCAATGGAAGCTCTAGACTGTTTGACTAGGAAAGCAGTGATTGATAACCAGATTCCTTATCATCCTAGATGTAAACCTCTTATGATTACCCATTTGTGTTTTGCGGATGATTTAATGATCTTTACTAATGGTTCAATAAGAGGGGTTGCTGGCATTAGAAGGTTAATGGATAGCTTTTATAAGCTGTCTGGATTGAGATGCAACCCAGCTAAATGTCAGCTTTTCTGTGCTGGAATCCCTAAGGAAGAGATGCTTGCAATATCTGAGTTTACTGAATTTCCTCTTGGTACGCTTCCTGTGAGGTACCTAGGAGTTCCACTTATCATAGGGAAACTTACTAGGCAGGATTGTAAGGTGCTGGTGGATAAGTTAACACAAAGATTGAGAAGCTGGAGGTCAAAATTATTAAGCTATGCTGGAAAAATTCAACTCATATCAACTGTCATCTCAAGCACCCTTCAGTACTGGCTTAACATTTTCTTACTGCCTCAATATGTTATTAAGGAGGTGGAGAGATTATGTAATGAGTTCTTGTGGGATTCAGCTGAGGATGGCAGTAGAAAAAAAGCAGTCATGGCTTGGGAAAAGTTAGCAACTCCTAAGAAGGAGGGGGGACTAGGTATCAGGAACTTCAGTGTATGGAATAAAGCTTGTGTTTTGAGGCATTTATGGGAAATCCTTACGTTGAGTGGTTCTCCTTGGGTTGCATGGTTATCTAGATACAGGCTGAAGGGTAGAAGCATTTGGGAAATCTCAGCTGCTACTGCAGGGACATGGATTTGGAAGCGTTTATTGAAATGCAGGGCTGTTGCCTACCCATTTGTTTTTGGAAATGGAAGCTGTATGCTATGGCAGGGGGAGCAAATGAAAAAATTCTCGGTGTCTAGGGTGTGGAATGACATCAGGGAGAAATCCCCAGAAGTGCAGTGGTGGAGGTTAGTATGGGCGAAGGAAGTCATCCCTAAGCATGGTTTGATTTTGTGGCTCGCTATTCACAGGAGGTTGGTAAACCAGGATAAGCTTTTATCTTGGGGTAAGAATGTTTCTGGCTGCTGCTTATTATGCCCAGGTGGCATGGAGAGTAGAGATCATATTCTGATTCACTGCTCTTACTCATTATCTGTATTGAAGCTGTGTATGAAAAGCCATTCTCCACCAGGTGTAGGGAGCTGGGACGAAACAGTAGCTTGGTGTGCTAGGGAATGGAAGATGCAGACTGCTAGGTCGAGACTTTGCAGAGCGTTGTGGAGTGCTGCTATGAGTCATATATGGCGTGAGAGGTGTTCCCAGATGTATGGGTCTACAGTGATAAAAGATCATGCTGCGTTGGTAAGGTTGATACGAGAGGAAGTTGTCTATCAAGTGTGTGAAGATCCTGGCCTTCAACTAGAGTTAGATAGTATGCAGTAAATGTAGATAGAAGTGGTTTTGTAAGTTTTGCTTATATGTACGTTGTTACAGTTTGAGAGGCGTTGCAGGGTTTCCCCTGTATGTGGTCTGGTCTTAATGCTATTTTTTTATTTCACCTAAAAAAAAAAGAAATCGAGATTCATATATTCAGTCATCTGCAGCAAAAGGTTCGAATTAGGATAAGGGTTCGAAACCACAAAATCACACCAATATCGAAAAATACGAAATTCACAGATTAGGGTTCATAAAAGGGGTCGAATATGGAGAAGGGATTTCGTCGTTGAACAAAAATTTCATAAGGATTAGGGTTTGAATCGAAAACCTAGAACCATCTTACCTTGTTCGAGCAGAGACACCTGTATGGAATGGATTTCTCTGCAACAATTCGGCGACAGTCCCTCACCTGCTTCAGCTCGCATCTCGGTCGGTCGCATGTCGGGGGAAGAGATGGAAGCGCGGCGACATACTTCGCCAATGTCGCACGTGCTGGAATCGTCGGCGGGGGGATATTTAACAGGCGAGGCGGACCTTGCTGCCTCGCTTGCTGGAGGTTGATGGTTCGTCGGGCGATGGAGAAGAAGGGGAGAACTGGGGAGAACTTAGAGGATGGGAAGGTAAATCGCGAATGGTCACTTTTTTTACTTTACCCATAATTTTTTTACTTTACAAATCCGTTCTCTTTTTTTTTTTAATTAAAACGTATGATTCCACCTATTTTCATGCCCTTCACGTAGGATTCCACCTCAGACCAGCGTTGTTGAGTCAATAAACATAACAGAACAATTAACGGTGGGGTAACAGTTGGATAATAAATAGAATTTTGATAGATTTGGATAAAATAAAAGAATTTTGAAAATTTTTGGGTAAAAAATAAACATTGCCTTTTATAATATTTGAACAAAACTATAATTAAAAACATTGAGTTGACCAACTTTCATATACTAGAACACCAACCATAGACTTCATTTTTTGAAAGGGTTAATACCCTAGTTTGGCATGAAATTTAGCGTATATGTCAGTTTTGGCCCGATTTTTCTAATAAGACATTTATGGACTACTTTGCAAATTATTGGACAACTTTGGCCTGAAACTTATGTTGACTGTTAAAACTGACGGTCAACTATTTTTCTGTCGGTTACTCAGCATCAAAATGCTGAGTTGGATCCAAGGTGGCTGCCACATCATTTATTTAGATTAAAAAATTCAAACTAAAAACAAAAACAAAAAAAAAACCCAAAATCCACTCTCCCATCTCCACCCTAACTCCCTCCCCTCACGACCCAATTCAACCCCCCACCCAATCGGAATCCCTAACCATCATCGCAACCTATCTCACCACCATTCCCATCTTCAGCTACCCTCACTCCATCTCCCCTACCGTTATTTTTGCCCGTTCGCTTCTGGTGCTGCTCCTTCGAGATCCCGTCCACAATATCAGAAGCCGCTGACGGTACCTCTTCTGCGGAGGCAAACCGGGGAGCGCTAGTGGCGGCGGCGGCGGTGCGACGCACATTCATCCGGCGAGCGCAAGTTGCCGAACCAAAGGGAAGGGGATTGATTGATGATCTCCCTATCCCAGATCTGCCGATCTTGTTGCCGAACCAGTAGGCGGCGGGGCGATCCTATGGCAGAAGAAACAGCCGGAGATGATGGCGACGACGGCGAGTTAGATTGGACAACGCCGGCATGTCTTGGGTGGCGTCGACGTTGGGGATTGATTCGGATTGGAAGCGACTGGTGAGGCCTTCTATGGCGGCGGGTTGTGGGTTTCATTTAGGGCGGGGAATTTCGCCAGGGCCGGGGAGAAGAAGACGGGACGGCGGCGCTGAGTTTTAATTAAGGTGGCGAATTGGGTGCGGGAGAAAGAGGGGAATGGGCTGGCGGGTTAGATTATTTAGGGTTCATGTGTGAAATTGTCCAGTTGAGAAAGAGGGAATTGTTTTAATGTGTTATTTCTTTTTTTTAATTGAATTAAAAATTTTAAAAAATATTATTTAATGACGTGGCATGCCAAATCAGCTGTTTTTGGTTGAGTCACTAACGGAATAGTGCTTGACTGTCAATATTAACGGTCAAAGAAATTTATAGGCTAAATTTGTCCAATAGTTTACAAAGTAGGCCAGAAATGTCTTATTAGAAAAGTCGGGCCAAAACTGACACTTACGCTAAACTTCGGGCTAAACTAGGGTATTAACCCTTTTTGAAAAAAAAACATAGAACTTCATTGTTCTCTAGTACTATAAATATGTGGAATAAATAATACACTTATTTTATGGTAGCTTGATATGCATTCCACAATTTGTGGATTTCATTAGCTGTCACTCTCACATAAGTTATGATCCCTCTAATAGAAAACACAAATTGGCGCCGTGGCAAGTTGACCGGTCAAAATCACAACTCCCAACTCATCGGAGTCCCCCTCCTCAAACTTCCACGATCTTCCATCAATTCTCTCGAGGAATCAGCATCTCTTCCCTCATCGCGTCAATCCAAAACGACACCGACTCCGCCATCTCCCGCCGCGCCGTGAACCCCAGCCGGTCGGACTTCTCCCGGCTCCCCAGCAGCTTGATCGGGAACCGGAACAGCACATCCAAAAACTCCCAGTTCGCCAGATCCCCAATCTCCGTCTCCACCAGCCCTTCCTCCGCCACAATCCCGCCCCAAATCTCCTCCATCCCTTCCATCGCCGCCCCGAACCGAAACCCCTCCGCCGCCAGAGCCTCCTCCGGCACCGCCACCCCCATCTTCTCCCCGATCACCGGCCAGATCTCCCTCCACGCGAACCCCGGCCCGTTGACCGAATTCAACGCCTGCCCATCCGTCGAGCGAACCCTCTCCTCCGTCGCCGCCCAGATGTGGTGCTCCGCCACCAACCCTGCATCCGACCCGTCCATGTACTCCTCCTCCCAGCAATCCCTCGTCCCGCCGAAAACAAACGGCAGATTCAACCGCCGGCAAATGGTTCCGTAGACGCACAACGAACCAATCAAATTGTACATCGATCTGCTCGAATTCCCCGTCACCAACCCTGGCCGGAGAACCGACCAAGCCACTCTGCCTCCCTGCAATCTCTCCTTCAACAAATCCTCCAGGGCGTAGTAGAAATTGAAGCCCTCCTCAACTCTAGGGCAACCCTCGTCGTAGCGTTGACCAACAATTCCTTTCGAATTCGCAATTTCCCGCAGAGAAACGTAATGCTTGAGCCCAGTCTGAAGCGAGACGTGCTTGAGCGTTCCGGCGCTGCAATGGAGGAGGGGATCCAAGGCGTTGACCATCATGGCTCGGTTTTGGTCGCAGCATTGTTGTGAATCGAGTGGGTGCTGGGCGGCCCAGGTGACCCAGAACAAGTGGGTCGGGTCGGGGATTAACGACAGCTTGGTTCGGGCTTCCAGAGGGTTTAGGAGGTCGCAGGGGATGAAGTGGTAGTCGGGGCTCTGGAGTGGGACTCTGTCGGGTTCTCTGGCGACGCCGTAGACTTTCCATTTGGGATTCGTCGTGGAGATCAGCTTCCTGGCTATTTCTCTTCCAACCAGCCCTGTTACGCCGAAAATGATGGCTACGTTTTTGGTGGCAGAAGCTTCTTGGTTTTGTGCTCTGCCGCTGGATGCCATTGGGACGGGAAAGAGAACTGGGAAGCAGGGGGTATGGCCTGAAGTGCAAAGTTTAGAGCTTTTTTATACAAATAGCATAATGCCAGAAGCGTTGACTTTCCACTTGGGGAAATTGAGGTTCCAGCAAGGTTGTCAACCCGCGGGTTGACCCGGACCCGGTCGAGCTAGTGGGTCAAGGGTTAATGGGTTAACCATTTTAGCCCGGTTTGGCCCGGAAATATAGGAAGAGTCATTATATTGTACTTATCCTCATAAATTATATCAAATATTATCTAACATATGAGTTATAACATATAATATTACACCAAAATAACATATCGTACTTAGATCCAACATATAGTGAAAATTCACACACACTTATATAACATAAATATTCAAATGTTCAACTTAGTATTCCAAAGATTGAGTTAGGGGAAAAGAAAAATTGGAAAATAGGCGCATTTCGCAAACTAAAGAAAAAAATGACACAATCTGACCTCCAACCCGGTACCTTATAGCGGTCGGCCCGGCGGATACGTGCGGCTCGTTTTTCTCACCGGGTCAGGGTCAAATTGGGTCGACCCATAAGTCAATCCGCGGGTTGACAACCTTGGGTTCCAGAGACAAGAGATTGGTTACTTTTGCCCTACGGTAGGTTTTTGGAAGCAACTCAAACTTTTTGAGAAATATTTTTTTTAAAAAAAGCAATTGGCTTAAAAATCATTACATTAGAAGTATTTTTTTTAATATAAGAGGTTGTGTAAAATGGCTATAAATGATTTATAATAAAAATTATGAATAAAAATTCTAAACAATAAAAAATAGTCAAAATGGATCTTGTTAGATTTCTTTTATATTAAATAGTATAATTTTAAAATTTAATTTATTTTTAAAATTATATTAATGAAATAAAATTCTATTTTCTAAAATAAAATTAAAATATGGTAAGGATAATCTTGTATTTTCAAAACAACTTTTCGCAACAGTAGCTTTTGCTTTTATGTTATACAAAAGCGCTTTTCAGCTTTTCAAATGTCCAGCTTTTAGAGGTGTTTGGCCCTGCTTCAGCTTTTGAAGTCGAAAAGCACTTCTAAAGGCCGGGCCAAACATAGGCGTAGTAGGCTACTACTAGCCAAGGTTGTCGAGCCAGTTTGATCCGGACCCGGTTGCGGTTACTTAAACCGTGTTAGCATTGGGGCTTGTTGGGCCTTATCCGAGTTGTAGTTGGTGTGAATACTTGGTCGTACTCGACTCTTCTAGTTTATCTCTACTAGCAAAAGGCCGCTCGCTATCGCTTCGCGTATTTGAAAAATAAATATTTTAAAAAGTAATATTTTAATGTTGACCTAAAAGTGAAAGTAATCTTATTTCAATATTAATCATTCTTTTCAGAGGTTTGTTATTTGTAATAGCATATGGTCGATAAACTTGCATAAATTAGAAGGGTCGTCGAATATATTATTTATGCTTAAACTTTTTTCATGACGCTAATGTTTAAACTTGTATGGCTAGTAATTGATTCTACTGTATCTTTTGCATAATGAAGCAGCTTCTCTCGATCTTTTCAAGAAGTATTAAAAAAAAACTATTGAGTGCTTAGATGAAAAACTATCAGAATTACTTTTTAATATAAGAGGTAATGGAAATTGACTTAAAAATATGTCTAACATAAAATATGAATACAAATTCTAAAAATAAAAAAAAAATATTTAAAGTGGACCACGTTAGATTTATTTCATATTAAATAATACTATTTTTCAATTTATTTTTTTTATAATGATATAAATGAAATAATTATATTTTTTAGAAACTGAATAATATATGTTAAAGTACAATTTTGTATTTTCAAATCGGAACTTGTGCTTTTAAGTTACGCAAACTTAAGTTTTTTAAAAAGCGAAACTTTAGAGGTGTATGGTTTGGCTTCAAATTTTGAAACATAAAACTTCTAAAATTCGGATCAAACATAGTCTTACTCTTTTGGTTTTTTTTTTTTGGTTTGAGGTAATCGTGGTTCTTCTTTATGAAATTTTTGGACTAATTGCAGGTTTGAGAAGGTTCAACTTGCATTGATCGGGTCAGATTATATTGGATACACATGGATTTGGGTTCAACTGTCTTTATTAAACAAAAGAAAAAAGCGAAATGAAAAACACTAAAGCTAAAACTCGCTACCGACTCAAAACTCGTCAACACCAAGTTCAACTCACTTTGACCTGGTTGGACCGAGTTTTGGAAAAATTCACACCTAACACAACACGCCAATTACAAAAACAGATTAAACTCGCTCCCGCCAAAAACCTGTAAAATTGGGTTCAAGTCGCTTTGGTCGGGTCGAATTAGGTTGTATACTCATGTGTTTGCACTCATTTGTCATTCTCAATCAAAAGGGAAAAGATAAAAACATTACTAAAATGGATAAAACTCGCTCATGACCCCAAACTATCAACACTGCATTCAACTCGCTTTGACCAGGTCGACCAATTTTAACAAATTCACAATTTACCCAACCTGGCAATTACAAAAGCAAATAAAAATCACTCTCGATACGAAACGCGTCAACAATGTGTCAGAGTTCAATTGTCATTCTCTACGAAAAGGAAAATGAGAAATAAAAAAACATTAAAGCGTACAAAACTCGCTTTCGATCTAAAGCTGGTCAACAATGTGTTCAATTCTCTTTGAACAATTTTTTAATAACACTTGGTCCAACCTGCCAACTACAAAAGCGGATAAACATCGCTCACAATACAACACTCGTCAAAACCTTAGATTCAGGTTCAATTGTCTTCCCAACCAAAAGAAGAAGAAAAGAGAAATTTATAAATGCTAAAGTTTGTTTCAAGTCGCTTTGACCGGAACGAATTAGGTTGGATACCCATGGATTTGGGTTCAATTGTGATCATGCTCAACAAAAAGGTAATAATGAATGAAAAAACACTAAAGCGAACGAAACTCGGTCCTGGTACAAAACTCGCCAACATTGAGTAGATATGATATTGATTTTCGGTAGCGACATTGGGTTCAATTGTGATCATGCTCAACAAAAAAAAAAACACTAAAGAGGATAAAACTCGGTCCCGATACAAAACGTGGTAGCGGCCTTGGGAAGCGATGGTGGGGAACAACTTAGGATTCCGCCGACAGTATTTCGAGATGGACTGTAAAATGGTGGGCAAAGGCGATGATTTGTGTTCAAGGTAGGATACCAATGTGTTTGGGTTATTCAACAAAAGGAGAACAAAACACTAAAGAGGATGAAACTCGGTCCCGATATAAAACTCATGGTAGTGGCCTTAGGAATCGGTGGTGGGTAACAACTTAGGATCCCACCAAAATTATTTCGAGATGAGCTACAAAATGGTGACAAAAGCGATGATTTGTGCAAAAAGCCATAGGAAACGGTGGTGGGTAACAACTTAGGATCCCTCCAAAAGTATTTCGAGATGAGCTGCAAAATGGTGGGCAAAAGCGATGATTTGTGCAAAAAGCCATAGACAAAAACCTAGCAAACAACAACTAAACACAAAGTCGATGATTTGTGCAAAAAGCCATAGCCGAAAATCTAGTGAACAATAACAAAACATAAAGGCGATGTTTTGTGAAAAAAACCATAGACGAAAATCTAGCGAACAATAACTAAACACAAAGGTTGTAGAATGAAGAGTGGGGTAAAAGAAAGACTTTGAATTTCCCCACTTGCACTTGGAGGAGTGTGAGAGCCACTAATGAATAGTACTCAAACCTAGGCTTTTATATATTAATTAATATAAGACTTAGCTACGAACCTGTCGTAAGCAAGTCGTCACAATGTAGTCCTTCAATAAAATGTCAGCCGTGAGCTCTTCCGAGCTCACCGTGGATTAGTCTTATTCAATCAAGAACGAGGATACCACGTAAAATCCAGTGTCTCTTGTGTTCTTTTCCTTCCGCGTTATCAAATTCTACAATACTACATCTTTTTCGGTTGTTCCCTTCGCCTAACCCTATTTATGGAATTCTAAGTTTAATCTCGATGTTATATGAGCGTGTTTGTGAATTTTCACCATATGTTGGATCCAAGTACGAACTATTATTTTGGTGTAGAGTTATATGTTAGTATATATCAGGTAGATGATATTTAATATAATTTATAAATATATGAACAATATAATAACTTTTTCATATATCCAAACTAAACTGAGCTAAACTGATTAGACTATTTACCATCAACCCACTTACTCGACACGGCCAACGGACTAAACCGTGTGACAACTTCGCTACTAGCACATAATCCTGAAAAGTCTAGGCCTGGTAAAAGACTATCTTGTTAACGATGCATCCTATAACCGAACTAGAACCAGTGGTGAACGGTTACACCACTAACCGATTAAACAATACACAGTCGGCCCCAAGTACCACTGTTAAATGGTTAACCGACTAACCAATTACGGTCATCTTCATAGTTAGGGCCGAAAATAATAGACATCAAGGACCTGTAGGCATAGGCTGAAAATAATGGGATGTTTAAAGGTTTACAAGATCCCTTGCCTACCCTAGTAGTAATCGTGACTTAGGTTTAAATGATATAATTTCAAAGAAAAGCTTTAGAAGGAGCATAATAGAAACACAAGCATTCTTACATTACGTAAGTGGAAAAGTACGACAATAATTCAATAGAATGAGAAAATTAATTAAAATAACACAATTTCATGAAAATATTATATTTATATGCTAAATATAAAATATGTTAGAGAAAAATATCATGATTATTTCTAGAAAAAATACATATGCATGTGTATAATCGGGCGGGTTCGGGTTGGATAGTGAGAAACCCATGCCCACCCATTACCCGCAATATTCGGGTTCGGGTTTTACCCGTACCCACTAAATGTCCTTCAGGTTTGGGTTTTACCCTACCTGATTAGACCGAATCCGAGCGGATATCCACAGTTACGGATATTTTTGTCATCCCTATAATTTAGTGGGGTTTGTGAGTTTAGTAGTTGTTGTTGGATCTCTTATTCTTGTATGCTTCTTTA